GTTGAAAAGCGAAGAATCAGCTTTTTTATTCAAAAACCAAGAAATTGCACTAAGAAAAAATTTTAATACACTACAGGTACAGTAGAGAGCGCCCTCTAGCGGCTACAGTAAAGCTATGCCCATGGTTCGTTTTGTCGTACCAAAAAACCCTTGTATACCAATTTTCACTGTTATAAATCAAATATTGTTCGGAATATTTAAAAAAAAGCTATTTTAGAAAGTAAATTTAAACACCCTGTATTTCGGAAGCCACGCATTTTTCGACCCGTGTTTATATAGACTTTAAGCATTAATTTTAAAAGTTCTATCGAATCTTATGCAACAATAAACTGAAACACCCTGTATACAGGGTGTCCCGAAAAAAGTGTGCAATATTCTACAAGCGGTTTCTAGAGCTTAAAATAGGAAGAAAAGTTTATATAAACATAGGTCGACTAACATCCCCTAAGTGCGCTACGGTCTTTTAAAGGGGCTCCCCTGAAGATGGTTTTTCATTAATATTTCCGAAACGTGTTGAGATAAAGACATAAAATTTGGTGTCCTAGCCTAGCTTGTTATGCTGGATTTAAAAATATTAACAATTTTAGACAGTTTTGTTTGGAAGCGTATGTAACAGGGACGGACTCAGGTTATTTTAGCCCCAAAATTTTTGTGTGACTCTATTTTTGAAATTCAATTTTAGAATTTGACAATTTAGGGTTTTCTACATAAAAAAGGTACTCTTATTGAATATCGATAAATTGTGCCATTTTTGAATAAAATCAAACTAAAAAATTTGTCACATGATAGGAAATGTACTGCGAATTTAAATGAATTATTGATTATACATAGTTAGCCATGACTGCAAACAAAAGTTGTTTTGACTTGTTATGACTTATTTTGACGATAAGGTGACATTGTTAGAAGTGTAAAATTGCTAGATTAAAATCAAAATTTTTATTAAATCCATTTAAAATGCCAAAATTTACAGACAGAGAACTGACTGACATGCATTTTGTGTACGGGTTTTGCAATGTGAGTTCATTGGCAGTCGTAAGAGAATATCAAAGATTTCCCAATCACATAGTACCTGGACGTCGAATGTTTACTGATATTCACCGGAATTTTTGAAACCATGGAAGTTTTCAGCGCATGCAGGGCTCAGGAAGGCCACTGGGAAATCATCGTATGGATATTGCTTTAAATATTTTTGAAAATAATCCGCAAATAAGCATACGAAATGTTTCAGAAATTATGGATATACCTCGATCAATAGTAAGAAAAATTTATGAATACCTATTTGATAGTTATCCTAAAAATAATAATTTTAGATAGGAAGAATGAAAATAACGTAAGAATTACATCCTTATCATTTTAAACGGGTGCAGCATGTAACGGAGGCAGATTTTTACCACGAATCGGGTTTTGCCAGTGGATATTAGCAAATGAAAACACTATTCCTAGAATATTATGGTCGGATGAGTCAATATTTACTAGGAATGGTGCTTTTAATTTCCATAACATGCATCACTGGTCAGATGAAAACGCAAAAGTTTTTCGCCGTACAAATTTCCAACATAGATTTTCATTGAACTTATGGGCAGGAGTAATTGGGGATCAAGTAATTGGGCCTATTGTACTTCCCAATCATCTTAATTCAGAGGTGTATCTGAACTTTCTTCAGAATGAGCTCATGGATATAATACCATTGGATGTGCGCCAGCAGTTTCAAGAAAATTTATTTTTTCAACATGATGGCGCCCCTGCAAATTTAGGACGCAATGTTCGAAATTGGTTGAATGCTATTTTTTCCAGACAGGTGGTTAGGCCAAGGAGGTCCTATAGCGTGGCCGCCACGTTCACCTGACCTAAATCCATCGGATTTCTATTTTTGGGGGTCACTAAAAGACCTGCGTTACTCGACTTTAGTAAATACTCAAGAAAATTTACTTCAAAGAATCCATCAGGCTGCAAATGAAATAAGAAAAAAAAGGTTTTCCACTTTTCGGGCTACGCAATCATTAGTTCGTCGAGCGAGACTCTGTATCCAACAAAATGGGAATTTATTTGATCACTTGTTGTAAAGCTAGTTTTAAGAATATCCAACTGTATGTCTTCTTTTTTAAACAAATTTCAATTTCGTTCGTAGAAAAAAATTATTTCTTTTGTTTTTGCCTAAATGTTAGCTATGTTGCAATAAAAATATGTATTTATGTAATAATTTCCAATTACTAAATTAGTTTTTTCGTTGCCATGGCTAATTATTCAACAATTTATTTAAATTCGCAGTACATTTCCTATCATGTGATAAATTCTTTAGTTTGATTTTATTCAAAAATGGCACAATTTATCGATATTCAATAAGAGTACCTTTTTTATGTAGAAGACCCTAGATTTTCAAATTCTAAAACTGAATTTCAAAAATAGAATGACGCAAAAATTTTGGGGCTAAAATAACCTGAGTCCGTCCCTGTTACATACGCTTCCAAACAAAAATGTCTAAAATTGTTAATATTTTTAAATCCAGCATAAAAAACTAGGCTAGAATACCAAATTTTATGTTTCTATCTCAACACGTTCCGGAAATATTAAGGAAAAACCATCTTCAGGGGGGCCCCTCTAAAAGACCGCAGCGCCCTTAGGGGACGTTTGTCGACCAAAGTTTATGTAAACTTTTCTTCCTATTTTAAGCTCTAAAAACCGCTGGTAGAATATTGCACACTTTTTTCGGGACACCCTGTATATCTGATAAGCTACACGCAGAACCTTGTAAAACTGAAAAGTATAAAATAATATCGCCACAACTTACAAAAATTGAAGGTGAATGTTATTAAAGTACAAGAATTGAGGCACATGGTTCTCTGTTGGACATAGAACTCAGTATCCCAAAATATTTCAGTTAACTTATCTACATTTAGGACTTCATAGTCCTATGTTGTACATAATACCATATTCAATTCAGAAACTTTTTACATTAGTCTCACACTTGTATCATACACCCTTGTGGGGGTTAGAATATATGTCATCAAAAAAAAAAATGAGACCGGCTGGAAAGATCACTACTAAAAAAGATTGCGTTGCAAAATGTATCTATGATTGCGCTAAAAAGATTAGCGGGGAAGACCAAGAACTGATATTTTCGAACTACTATAAACTTGACGCAAGAGAATAATAACAGGTTCCAAGGATGTAAACTATTTTATTGTGGGACACTAGGATTTTAAGTCAAAAGCCGATTTACTCTATTCATGAACATAGAACAGAAGCAAACACACTTAAACGAAGTTCACAAGGGAGTAATAGGAAAAGGTATACATCAGATGAAGCAGCAGGTCTCGTCAGACAACATATCGATAGATTTCCTGTTGTGGAAAGCCATTACTGCCGGTCTGATACTAAAAGAAGGTACCTAGAAGGTGACTTATCAGTCCAAAAAATGTATAGCCTATACGAAGATTTTGCGAAAGAAAAATGATCGAATCCAGTAAAGATAAACGTATATCGCAAAATATTTTCTACAGAATTTAATTACTCTTTCAGTAAGCCATCGAAAGATTTATGTAATTTCTGTGCAGAAGTAGATGGTACTAAGAGAGCACAGAAATTGAGTGAAGCAAGAAAAATAGAATACGAAGAACACGTTCAAGAAAAAAACTGGATGAAAGAAGAAAAAGGATATGAAAGCTGGAAAATTAGTATTGTTACGATTTAGAAAACGTACTAACTTGTCCTAAAGGGGAAGTAAAAAATTTCTTTTATAAAAGTAAACTGAACGTGTACAACGTGACAACACATTTATCTATGAACAAAAAGGTTTACTGTGCAATATGGACGCACTGGAAATGATATTGCCAGTGCCATGTACAAGATATTAAAAAACTTATATTAGGGAGTGGCAGCTGCTTCCCTCAAAATCGTAACAGCCTCATGAGCTTCATATTTCACATATCAGCCCATATCTAAAGAAAGTCCAGAGGAAGTTTTCTATACCTGTCCACTCTTGCATCCAAGAGGTTGATTCGGTTCATAGCGCTATTGAGCGCAGCTTAAGGAAGTCTGAAAACTTTTCTCCACTTTCTCTATTAAGGCTGTTGTTGAAAGCGAATACCAAAAAGCCTGACACCATAATGCAAATGAAGGAACAAGATTTTCTTGATTTTTCATGGTACTCATCAAAACTCAATTATAGTGCATTCCTTTTGCAAAGGTTGTTTCTTTAAAATTTACTAAGAACTTCCATGAAATAAAATATTGAACTTCTTTTGGAGACACTGAACTCATAATTAGAAGTCTACGGCAGCGACATGTGAGAAGACATGTAACTGCATAAACAGAAGAAGTTCCTATAACAATCAAGAAAAATGACGTCAAGGTTAACCTTGCTCAAAACAAGGTTGATGCACTCAAATCAATGTATAAGTGGATGCCAGAAGTTGATAGACAGTTATACCAGCATCTGTTCTCTAAAATGTCTAAGAAATGAGAAATTAGTAATTGTTTTTCAAAAGACGTTTCTTTATATCTTTTTGGTCTATGTTACATTTTCGTATTTTTATTTTTTTAATAGGGAAACACAGTCCTATGTTATTTACATTTATAATAATAATAATAATAATAATAATTATAACAATAATAATAATAATCCGGCTTTATTTATACAAAGTATAAAAAGGCGAAGTGTCGCTAAAAAGCGTTTTTCAACTTAACCCAACCTTACAATAAAATTTGAACCAGAGTCAACAGAGCGTTCTATTTTCACTTAACATTCCTTTGCATACTAATATTACAATTACTAAATGCCACATACCAGTCGACAGATTTTACTAAATATAGAATCTGGCAAGCTAAAACTTTGAGACCATTTTTCTCATTTAGACATGTTTGTTGCATAGAACCTTGCAATACTAAGGTAGTGTTTTAGAATTTTTTAGAATATAAATAGGTTTTCCTACTCCTAATGGCGGAAAGATAATTTTCAAGTTGGTTGGTGTTTTAAAAGATTAACCAGCTAATCATTTTAGGATGGAAGATACGCCGTGGGTGTTGTCCTACATAGCATTCACCTGGTGTTTGTTCCTGTTAGTTCTGCCACTGATAAGTTCGTTTTCGAATGGCCGACTGCGAATTCTGTTCGTCATGGGCCTCTTCATGACTGCATGTAGTATGCTAAGTAAGTGTCATCATTCTTAGGTCACTTTATTTCGATTATACCGGGTGTTTGAACTCGACCCTCATCATTGGGATCTCGAGAACTGTAAGAGATACATCATCGCCTAAATGGAGGCAAAGTTGCATATTTAGGTAACACTGATCAACAGCCAAAAAATATCCTAAATAAAATCAACAAAATATTACTATTTGTAATGTGCTAAAACCGGAATGAAACTTATTTTTTCAATATTAGTACAAGTTTTAGAGATACGGTAATTACATGTGTTCCTGCTGTGACAGTGTTAGTATACTGTAATTCACAAGAATGCACGTGCTACATTTTTATATTCGGCAAGGAAAGATGATGTAATCGGCATGATTGTGTTACGTTATACATACGTGTACATTATATTGTTTTATATTAGCCATTTTTTCCTCAGTTGGCCGACAGCGTTCATGCAAGATGTCTCGAAAGTGTGTAAACAATCCAGATCAGTTTTGTTACGTGTGTGGTGATGTGACTTTTGCGTCTCAGAGACGGTCTATTACTCCACTAATAACAAAGGCATATCAGCTTTATTTCGGTTGTAAACTAGGTGATCAAGACAAACAGTGGGCACCCCACATCTGCTGTAATACATGTGCTTCAAGTTTGAGGAGCTGGTTAAATGGCAAAAAACGGTCTATGCGCTTTGCTGTTCCAATGGTTTGGAGAGAGCCTACAAATCATATTAATGATTGTTACTTTTGCATGGTACCTTGTGTTGGATAAGCCACAGGTATGTCCAAAAAAAAAATCAGTTATTAACTACCCAAACATACCATCTGCGATGAGACCTGTGCCTCACAGTGACGAAAATCCTATCCCAAAACCCCCAGAATCCTACACCTGCGAATCAGAAAACGAATCAGATCATGGCGATCGAGTGATTCGTCAGGAAGAAGATATGCCATCAACGTCAAGAGATCCTGAGTTTATACCGAGCACGTCATGCCACCAACCGCACAATTTAACACAGTCAGAATTAAATGATCTTGTAAGAGATTTAGAACTTCCAAAATGTAAGGCAGAGTTACTTGGAACAAGACTGCAGCAGTGGAACTTGTTAGAAGACGATGTTTCGGTATGTGTTTTTCATAAACGCTACAAAGACTTAGAACCATTTTTCAATATGGAGAATAACTTGGTTTTCTGCAGTAACATTAACGGCTTACTGGCGGCTTTAAATATAAACTATAACCCAGAAGAATGGAGATTGTTTATAGACAGTTCAACATTGAGTTTAAAGGCAGTGTTATTGCATATTGGAAATATTTTACCATCTCTTCCTGTAGGGTATGCAGTTCACATGAAAGAATCATATGACAATATGAAGTACCTATTGACATGCATAAAATACGATGAGCCCCAATGGCATATTTGTGGCGATTTAAAAGTTGTTGCACTTTTACTTGGGCTGCAGCTAGGCTACACAAAGTTTTGCTGGTTTTTGTGTGAATGGGACAGTCGGGCAAAGGCACTTCATTACAGCAGACAAAACTGGCCTGTTCGTCAATTCCTAGAGCCAGGTCAAAAAAATGTACAGCATATGCCATTAGTAGATTCGAAAAAAAATTTATTACCACCACTGCATATCAAGTTGGGCCTAATGAAAAACTTAGGCATTAGATAGAGATGGGTCAGCTTTTCAATACCTGCGCCATAAATTTCCAATCGTATCAAAAGATGGGCTGTAATATGTCTTTTACACCTACACTCACACCTGGACTTTTTTTCCTGACAATTGCGGAGCCGTAAGTGATGAGCACGGCGAACGTTTTCATCAGGAGATTTCAACAATGGAAAAAAGGTACCAGGGAAAGTGGAATCCTTCCATGCTTGCAGACTACTGTTGGACTCTTGGTAGAGATGCTCCAGAAACGATCCATAAAAGAACAGCAAAAAGACAACGCACATAGTGATTCTTATAAGTATATGAATCTTGTTACTTTTTTTAATATATCCTTAAAAATAAAAAGTATTTTTTCTAAACCGCAACTAATTTTTTTATTTCATTGTCATTTTTGGATTCAGCGCCCCAAAATTAACAAAAAAGTGCACTTTTCCCACGAGATACAATTAAAAAACTAAAATTTGTTGCCCAGTGTAACAAAACGCCGCTTAGAAAGTTTTGATACCCAAAGAACTTCCGGGAGGGCAAAAAACAAATTTTCTCATAATCGATTTAATTTCTCCCTGGCTTTATTTGTTGTGGGATTTAAAAATAACTTATTAACATTGCTGCTTGACATGTTTAGAATTCCAATATGACGTTTTATCCTCCAGCATAAACTTTTCTTTTTTTATTACGGATGTCAACTCGTATTGTTTTTTAACATGCTTTTTTTAGCTTGGTCTGTATGTATGTATATAACGAAATCTTTAAGCCTTATTTTTACCCATTTCCAGAAGTTTGATTAATTTGGAACTTCGCACTCGTATCAAGGACCGATGACGATATAATAATTTGATAACAGTTTTCCATTGTCCTTATTTGGATCGCCAGGATTGATACATTCTTTTATAGATCCTATGTACCGGAGTAAGAGAGATGCAGCTAGAGCTCAATCTGCGCATGCGTGCAGTTTCGGACTTACTCTTTGTCAGGATTCTGAAAACACAATTGTGATGCTAGCAAAGAATAAGATAGAACTTGTTATAAATATAAAAACAAAAGGACGGAGACATTGGGCTTGTTGATAACGATAGATACCGTCGTTATATGTTAAAAATATCAATATACCCGAACATATTAAAAATTATTAAACATGAGAAGACACTTTAGGGAAACAATCGGAATGCAGTCTCTAACCTCCTACTTCTGCTACACCTGGAGAGGGAGACGACACGGAAAGATAATGCATCGACAGATGACAAGTGATTGACGCGATGGAACGTGGAACTGTAAACCTGATTGTTCAATTTGTATATGAAGTATACGAGGGACGCTCGGTCATCCTCCACCCAAATTACTAAAATGCTGAATTATTTTGTTTTGGAAAAATGTGTAGTTCATATGAGTGTACGAATGTGAGATAGTGATACACACTTGAAAAGATGGGTTATGTTAGTTTGTATTAAAGATTGTGAGTGAGAAATTTCAACTACCAGGATAGCAATTGGAAATGTATTCTAATTTTGGGACGATCTTGGTTCGATTTGGATATGTAGCCGTTCTAGCTTTTCGCAACTCAACAGGTAGGAATAAATGACACTAAGCTGCTTAACATCAGCCTTATTATTCATGCAATGATCTGTCATGAAAATGTGGGACATTTAAAAAAATAAACGTTTTGAGAGTCTTTTTTCTTTATCAAGAACCTCAATACTGCCATAATTCATAGAGTGACCTGTGTTGTTAATATAAGATGCCAAAGCACATCTCTCTGGATGTAGTCTGGCGTCACCTTTTTGTGAAGTTATCCTGCCTTTCGGTGACCTCAAATTTTGGCCTATATACTCGTAAACTAAATTACAGTTGTTGAAATTAATGCGATAGACAGTGTTGGTTGAATCAAGCAACTGAACCTTATCCTTCATTTTGGACAACAAACTGTTGACTGTGAGCACTGATTTACAAGCAAAACGACAATTAAAGGAATTATACAGCCTGATCAATTTTGGTGTTAGTTCTTTGATGTATGGCAAGACGACATAATTAACTCTGGAAATAGAAGCAACTACTGTAGTGCTGTTATTCTCATTGGTTGAAGAATTCATGGGTGTCTGGTTGGACCGAACAGTGTTGTCATTTTAACTATTGTTATTTTGTTAACCAAATACTTCGGATAGCCATTGTTGATGAATAAGACTGAAAGCTTCCTTAAACTGGAAAGATGGAAAGTACTGTCAGAGATTTCTATAACCCTGTTCTTCATTTGTTTCACCAGGTTTACTTTTATTTTAAGTTCGTGGTAAGACCTGACGTTCAGGAACCTTCCGGAAGATATTGGTTTCCTGTACCAATCTACCAGTAATATATTGTCATTGGTGCGAATCAGTCTTGAATCCAAAAAGGTTCGATTGTCATCTTCTTTTTCGATGGTGAACTGGATGTAGGGATCATAACTGTTAAAAACTTCAACACCCTCTCATCAGGAAGACAAACGATAGTATCGTCCACATACTTTTTTATGAAAATTAGATTGTATGGCAATACTTGAATAACAACATCAAGCAGGTCATCCATTACACATTCTGCCAAAACTGGAGATAACACAGAGCCCATGGGGCAACCATGTGTTTGTGAAAACACTTTGTTGTTAAAAGTAAAATAATTTTTCTGGAAAAGGTACTCTATGATATTGATGAAAGAATCCAGAGTTAGGTTGCTGTGTTGGCAAATTTGATCCCAATGTTTGTTGACGGAGATGATGCAAGCTTCTAAAGACACATTACTGAACAGTGAAACTACATCTAGACTCGCAATAACATGATCAGGGGGTATTTGAAACCTATTAAATTGTTGAGAAACATCAAAAGAGTCTTTTATAAAGTATTCTTCTTTCATGCGAACTAACTTTAGAGTATCTGCAATTATTGAAGATAAAGCTAGTGTGGCTGATTCAACAGAAGCCACAATAGGTCTTACTGACAGTACAGGTTTGTGTATTTTGGGAAGAGCATAAAATTTAGGAGAGGCAGAGTTATAAGTGCTTAAGGACTTCTTTTGGTCCTGGTTGATTTGTCCAGTGCAACCTTTCTCTACTTTAGATGTAGGGTCTTAATTAATAACCATGTAAGAGGGATTATTATCAATCAAATTACTACATATGTCAAAATATTGTTGTCTTAACATAATTACGGTAACATTTCCTTTGTCTGATTTTGTAACAATTAACTCGGGATGATCCTTAATAGAATTTCCTTGTTTTATTTAACAGGTTGTGGTAGAAAGAGTGTTTTTTGTTGATTCTACTGTTATGAAAGTAATTTGTGATAATATTGGTGGAACGAGTTATCGCAATGTTCCTTTCTGT